TGTGTCAGGCACTACAATACATAGTTCCATCTATAAATGCTGCTTAAAACTGCACTGTGCCAAAAGGAAGCCCTATGTCAACAGTGTCCAGAGGCGCAGTCGACTGCTCTGAGCTGGGAGGCATCTGGGATGGACCATCACACAGTGGAAACGTGTACTGTGGTCAGACAAATCAGTAGTTCAGGTCTTTTTTGGAAGGAATGGATGCCATGTCCGGACCAAAGAGGAAAAGGACCATCCAGACTGTTAGCATTTTGAAACACAAAATCCAGGGTCTGTCATGGTCTGGGGTTGTGTCAGTGTCCTTGGCAAAGGTCACTTACACTTCTGTGATGGCTCCATTAATGCTATCACTTGGTGTCCTCAGTCCCTAAACATCTTTTAAGTGTTGTGAAAAGGAACGGCAACATCACACCGTGGTAAATGCTTTACTGCCCCAACTTTTTTTGGAAAGTGTTGCAGCATCAGAATTAAAGTGAGTGTTTATTTTGAATAAAGTTGATGAGGTATCACATCAAATAATGTGCTGCTGCATTGTTTTCAGTGTAATACAGGACACAGATGATTCACACATCACTATTTTCAGTTTTAATTTTCATTTTACAAACCGTCCCAACTCTGGGGTTGTAGCTAATCCTCCAACATGCAGTCTGAGTACTGTCATTCATTAAGTTGGACCCTGAGCACACTGTAGGTTATCGACCACATATGTGTTGAATGCATTCCAGTGAGCTTGACTGGTGATCAAGCTATGAGCAGAAATAATCTCATTACTTCAGTGAATTCTCAAAGGCCAGAGCAGAAAAATTCCAGCTTCTGAAACAGAGTAAAGTTGGACCAGTGGAAGAGCCAAAGGCTAAAAGGATAAAAGCCAGTGCTCAGCTGCAGAATTTACTCATTTGCATTCTGCATGAGGTCAAAGCCAACAAATGTATTTTCTCATTATCTCAAGCTTTTTATGTGACTAGGGCTGGAGGAATTATTTTAACTATGCAATAATGTTTTCAGCTTCCTAAAAGGGATGAACTGTTGCTATCTAAAACGTTCATATGGCTGGTAATACAGTCACACCTTCTGTCGGCTGTTGGTTCACAAACATAGCTTGAAAACAGTTTGATGCCGTCTGTTAAGATGTTATTGGGTATCTGCTGCACATTTAGATTATATCTTCATTAATTCAGCAAACAAATACATTAATAATTAGATATAATAATTTCAATGAATGATGTTTGTAACCCTACAAATTAAACAATACTGTATGTGATATTGGACTCAGGAGAGGAAGTTGTCAAATGACATTTTGCTGCTTGTCTTTGCGTTAAATGTATAACTGACTGATGACAATTTGTCTGATGCACATTTGTTGTCAACAAATTCAACAATGTGTTAGGTTTTTTTGTGGCTCTTAGTGCAAAGCCCATCGGCTCCTATTGGTGGTGTAAATGTTAGAACAGCCAGGAACTGTGATTTTTAGCAAACTTTACTTAAATCAGGAGTAACTAACAAAATTTAAACTTCAAATGCAAATGAAAACAAACTTGGTGCTCTAGTGAGTATTATGGTCAGTTATGCACTTAAATCACTTAATCCATTGAAAAATATTATTCTATAGTTTTTCTAGTCACATTTGTACTTGAATCATGATGCTGAAATAGTTGGTTAGTTGGTTATTGTGTTTTTTCCATATTAGTACTAGTATAAAAAACAATTAAAATAATTGAAATGATATACTAACCTGTGCTGTTAAAGCTGTAACCCTGTAGTGTCTGCATCTTTACTACTAAGTGCACAGCTCTTTGCTGTCTTATCTTTGATGTTCTTTTCTAGTCTATGCAACAGAATGCTAACTGTAAATAAACATATAGAGTTCATGATTTTCAACCTGAAACCATGCAGAGGAGGTGGAAGTACTTTGTTAGCTCTGAACAGTAGGTGGTTATTTCAGCCTCTACCAAACAAGACAGAGCAGAATGGTATGTGTATGTCACCTGAGAGGTAAAACCCAGGACAAACAAAATACCTGTCAAGCAGCACTGACAGGTAATAATAAACACACTCAGATGAGTATATCAACAGTTTCTCAACACAACCATAAAATTACGAGCACAAAAAAGGGATTTTGCAGAGGCAATGTGTCCACAGTAGAAATTGTGATGTGTCAAACCTTCAAGCAAGTTAGCATCTAAATGAATTACTGCACACCAGCTGACAGGCAGCTACCACAAAACCCCTGGGAGTCCAGCTGCCTGCTAGCTTCTCAGTTTTCCAGCATACATAAAAATATTTGCTTCAAAGTTCAAACTAGCCATGCTGGATCTACACATCTATGTCTGCATCCTGCTGACCTTCACGCATTATTAATGCCACAGTTTCAGTGAATAAAAATCATAATCACAAGTGAATAAACATAATAAAACAGAGCAAGCGACTGTCTCACCAGGTCTCCCATGTGGTTCATGCTCAGTTCATAACTGTGAAAGCCCATGGTGGCCTCTAGATTGTGCAAGGTGATGAGCATCAGGTTCTTCTCCCACAATTCTCTGCGGCGCACATTCTCCGCCTCAACACATAGATGCACAGAAAGAACACATCTTACATATGGATTTTGCACCTACAAATACAGGTTTTATTTACATTTGTTTCAAGCAGAGGAATCCCAGCAATGGCAAGCAAAGAAAAGTTTAAAAAGTAGCTATGCTTTAATGTTTTTTTTTTTTTTTTAATAACATACCTCATTGTGGTACTTCTTCTCGTGTGTCTTCTTCCACAGCTCCCAATGTACATCCAGTCTGCTGTCAAACATGGCTGCTGCCCCGGCACACAGGAGGACGAGCAGCAGGTTCACCAGCATCACGCCTGCAAACACACAGAAAGTTATGGGCCATATGAAAAGACCAGATGTCGTCTGACCTTTGAGTGTGCTGCAGGCTAACGCACCAGGTGGAGCTCAAGACCTGAAGTCAGAAGAGAAGTTCATAGAACCCACACACACAAAGAATTAACATCTGAGACTGGAGGATTAGTCATAATGTTCAGAGGCAGCATTAAATGTTAGCAAATGAGCCAAAGAAAGTCAAGAAGAAGAAAGACAAAGCAAAGAAGTTTTTCAAACTTTGAAGGAGATATTAATCTCAGATTATTGTTTGTTCAAGACAGACCTTGACATTTAGAAACTTGAGACAGCACATAACCTTTATTTCCAAAATTCGATATACACTCCAGCAAGTTTGTCAGACAGACACCACAAAGCTGTGAAAACTACAGCTTTGTACAACAAATGGCTTTTTTTATTCTTTGGCTGTTTCAGCTGACTACAGATATAGCTTTGTGGCTTTATTACTTTGGCAGTAATGTTACATAAATTATTTTTTTTAAATTGTGCAGAGATAGCAGACTGTAAATTATTAATCAGCGGTTCAACGGCAGGCCACGCCTCTAACATGCACACCTGCCGGCCAGCCGGATGCGAATCCTTTCGCAATCCTGAACCAGCTGCATTTGTTTCTTTGCAAAACCCTCCCTCCCAGCCCTCTCTCTCAGCTCACTAGTTTGGTTCTTGCTTCTCTATAGGGGATCTGCTATAGGGGAGAAGCATGTATTCCTCAGAAGCCTCCCCCAAACTGCTCACCACCATCATCACGACTCCAGCAACTCCTGCATAAGCACAGATCTGTCACATCCACTGCCGGCTGTCTCCCTCTTCTCCTGGCCATGCCCTTCACCAAGCGTGGCACTACCCATTGAACTTCTATATGCTACTGCTGTTCAAACTTGCTGTCTGTCAGCTGAGTAAGAAACCAGCAGAGACACAAGCACTCATGGTTTTTATACCCACCAGGTTAAAGTATGGATTATATCTCATTGTTTTTCATTCCATACTACAGAAAAATAACCACAAGTCTAGTTGCTATACAAGTCAAGAATATGGCAAAGCAAAATTGTTGGCAGGTGTTAAAGAAACTACGGTTTCTTTAACCTTTTGGGTCGAGATGAGCAGATATTAGTGCTAAGCTGCTGTAAAGGCACAAGGTCATTTCTGAAAGCTCAAAGTATCACAGGCAGGTTACAGAGATTTAAATGAATCTGAAAGTTCAAACATTCAGGTTCAAGCTCCAAGAGGTTGATGCTGGATTTGCTAATTATTATTAATTATTTCATAGAGGGAACATCAAAAACAAAAAAAACATTGTCATCCAAAAGTGCCGAAAATCAGATCACATGGGCAAAAATGTTGTCTGCAAATAAAACTAGTGTTGAACCCTCCTCGGCACTGCAGACATTTCCTTGTACAGAAGCAAGAATGCTAATGTTATGAGAACCACCCCAGCACTTCCTGCTATGACAAGGCTAAAGACAAAAACAACATAAAGACCTTCACACTGCAACCCCGGTTCTTAAACATTAGTTTTATATACAAATATTACACCGACTAAGCTGAGTGCAGGACAAATGTCATAACAGGATAAATGCACATTCACCATGTTTGTAAAATGCCAATATTCACAAAAGACTGGGTCATAGGTATGTGTATTTATTTATTTGGAATTTTTGCTTGGAAAATAACTTACATGATTAACAGATCAAAAATAGTCAACAGACTAATTGTTGCATTACTAACATATCCCCATATTGGAAATTGTGCTTGACAAAATAATGTCATTGATTTCAACCACATCACAAGGTCACAGGCACAAAGTTTTGTCCTGCTCATCCGCATTTACAAGAGGAACCTACTTTTATGCCTGTCTGGTTAAGATCTTTGTGTGGTGGTCAGCAGCAGCCTTAGGTTTCACTTCCACAAATTTAAAGCTATTACACTGTACATGAATTTCCCAGCAAGGAAACTGTCACAAGATCAGAAATGAAACTAATGAACAAGCAAGAATGAAATTTGGCCAAACCAGTCAGAGGCATCAGGATCGGTTACTGCTAAATCAAATGATCAGAAGGGAAGGGCTGCAACAGCTTACAAAAGTGTCCGCTATCAGAAATAGAGAGGCTTTTAATAGAGGAAGTACAAAGAGCAGTTACTGAAATCTAAACTGTGGTGAGACACAGTGATGCAGCTCAGCCAGTTGTACCAGCTTCTGCCAGAGGAGGGCTGCAAACCTAAAGGGGATTAAATGTGTCCCATCCAAACATTGATTCATCCAAACCTGTCAGGTGACAAAAAGTAGGTCAGGGGTGTTTACTTGACAGCTTTTCATCGTTTACAGTTAACTCCCAAATCTGTACCCTAAAGATTTATACATGACTTTAAACCAGAATCTGGAGTTTCACTGGAGTTTCCGAGGATGAACTGAGCGTCTCACACTGGTTATTGTTATTTAGCTCATTGCTCATTTCAGAAACATTAATAAGATAAACAAACAATCAAAAACAACAAATTAAAAACTGGCAGACTCATATTAATAGATGTTTTAGAGGGTGTACTCTACAGTTATCACAGCACATTGTAGGCCTACATTAAACAACATTCAACATTGTTACATTTCATAGACGATTACCAAAGTAAATACTAATAACATACATAAAACCCTCGAAACACACACACACACACACACACACACACACACACACACACACAGTATCTCTGTGTTAATATGTTATAACAAGATTACAATGACCCCCCCGTTGTTTTGATAACTACCTCCTCTACATAAATTAAACTGTAAAACATAAAAACGAAAGTAAAAGTTAAGACACGTTCAGGATTTTAATCGACCGATCTCCCGTTCCTAAACTTGGACATTAAAACCAGAAGAATCGTTTGGTGTTGAAGGTGTTGAACTTGCCTTGCACAGTCGGACTCATCGCTTCTTCTCTGTTGGACGCGCTTTCACTGCACTGCGTTTTCCTGGTTCATATTTAAGAAGGAAGTGTCACATGATGTGTCGCTGCTCTTCCTGTTTAGAAACAAAAGCCTCACCACGTTCATGTGTTTGGTGAACACCTGTGTGCTCAGGGCAGGAGAAACTGGGAACATGAGGAAATGACCAGCGAAAAGTCATCCATTCGGTTTATTTATTAACTTGTGGGTTTTTGACTTTAAACTTAACTAGAGAATCAATGGATTATTAGGGCCACATTAATTTTTTTATGTCAAGAATAAAATTGAAATGTTGTGGTTCGACTTTATTTTTGACATTTAGACTTTATTTTCAACAATGATTTTATTCTCAATGTGCAAAAAACAAACAAAAAAACCAACAACTTCCTCCTTTCATTTTGTTCTTCCTATAGTCATTGTAAAGCACATAAAATGGTGATGAAAACCATATTCTCCAATGGGGAGAATGAATATGTTCAATATATTTAACAGCAAACTGTTCATTAAATTCAGACATTTCTGTGGTAGAAGTAAAATTTTCAGTGTGATGGTACGATCAGAAAGGTCAGGGAGGTCACAAAAAACATTATGATTCAGTTTTGAGTTAGTGCAACGGCGAGTTGTCTTTGAGGTCCAGATGTGGGGATATGTGATTCTGGACCCAAGTGCAGGTCAGGATAAATATTCGACCTGTCAGGAGGCTGGAGGAAAGGTCAGAGGGTCACCACATTTTATGGCAGTCTGCCAGATGCTGTCAAGGTCTCTGGGCCAAAATGCTGCATGGACAGATGCATAAACCCTTTCTACTGTAGTGCTGTGAATATTTAGCTACATAGTGCAAGGTATTTTATTTTGTGCAAAATTACATATCATTATAGTATATACAGTACTTTGTACCACATATTTTTATATGACAGCATGACATTCCGCTCGGCATGACCTGCCTCTCTTCCCCTTTCTCTCTTCTGCTCTCTCATCCTGCAGACTCAGCGACGCAGATAATCTGCATCACCTGCTTATTCACTCCCTGGTGTAATGCACAGCTGAGGCTCATCTCCTCATTACCTGACCATCCGTACGTACATAAACCCCTGGCAGACCCTCCTTCGTCGCTAGAGTATTGACTGTTAAGTTACGGTGTTAACGGTGAAATCGAGTTTTATGTTTTGATGCGGCCACACATGTTGGCGATCTTTACCTCACAGCGCTACACCTGCCCTGTCCTCTGGTTCCTGTGTCCCTCCAGTCATTACACCTGCTGCTGACTCACCTGTCCTGTCTCCTGGTTCCTGCCACTCTCCTCTCTACTCATCTGCCCATCCTTGTCTTCTGACTCTCCTGGTTCCTGCCGCTCTCCTGTCTACTCGCCTTATTTGTGTTTGGTTGGTTTCTCCTAGCACCACATAATGAACTCCCAGGACTACGCAAGGAAAGTCCAACAACTGCAGCTGGACCAGGACAAGGCCATGGTCATGATGTCATATCCTTGTTCACTTGCATCCCCACCACAGAGGCTGTCAGGGCGGTGAAGAAGAGACTGCTGAAGGATGACACGATAAACAACAGGACTAACCTCACCCCAGACCATGTATGCATTCTGCTGGAACTCTGTTTAAACAATACCTACTTCCAGTTTAGGGGGCACTTCTATAGGCA